CTGTAAATAAAGCAAAGCCACTTCCTCGTCCGACATTAAACAGAGCCCGACAGAGGAGGGAGGGGCGGGGAGGCTCTTGCCGTGCAGCGTTTCAAGAGCTGACCTGCGTCTGACCTCAAAGTGCACAAGCTTCKAACTTCAGCGTTGGCTGCGATTTTGAAGCTGAAATCGCGTTCGGTGTGAACGCAGCATGAGCAGAACCGACCCGACTCAAAAGCAATCGAATAGAACCAAGTTCATGGAGAGAGGCTGAACAGGTGCCGCTGCAGTTAAAAGTTATATGTTATAGTTGAGATGTTGAAAGCAAAATGGTCCAAAGTGTGGTGTCACTTTACAAAATAAGATGCAGAAACCTCCATCTAATATTTGGTGCAAAGATAAATTATTAATGGCTTTAACTTAACATGTTGGTCAAGTTCAAGTTTGACTTTGAATCAGAAATAGTCATTGATTCATAAAACTGTGTGAGTATGTGTGTTTGTTTTATTTACTTATTTTTAAAGTACCGATTTAAATACCGTTTAGGAACCGGTACCGTTTTGAAAGTATCGATTTAGCACCGGTATCGAAATAAACCCTTTCAATACCCAACACTAGTTTTGTTGTTTATTGTTAGTAGAGACACACTAGGCAATGAGGTCAGGTTGTATTTTAGGTATGGACATATTTTTTGATTTTTATTGTTGGTGGAATAAAAATGTACATTTTCCTGATCAGGGGTGGATTGTTACACAATTTTTCACGTTTGTGCTGTACGCTCAGTTAAGATGCACACACATTCTGCTTTAATGCGAACATATAGATGTTTATTACAAATTCCTTAGTATGATCACATGATTTTTGTCATGTGACCAGGGGGAATTGCAGGGAATTTATTAGTTAGAAACTGATTTAGAAGCACCACACTATTTTCTTATTTTCCCTTTTTAGGTATTGATTATTATGACCCATTGRTTGATGATTGCTATATCTTGATTATTATAGCTTAGCTCCACGTCCGYCTCCTTTTCAACACATAAATAYCCMCTTATGAATTCAGTAATTCAAATACAGTTGCAGATACAGCTACATGTTAATTTGCACTTCATAAGATTATTTTTTGTAGTTTATTGTTTAATATTTTGAATGTATTTTAAACAAACTTTAAACTTGTCAAAAAGCTGTTATTGTTTGTCACTAAAAGGTTATATTTTCATTTGTACTTTATCAAAGTTTTTTACAGTTTTTTTGTATTTGGAACATATAAACATTTTTAATTTATTTATTTTATGCC